TGTAAGTCAGCTTTGACCATTAAGAAGAATAGGCTTTGAGGGAGAATTTCCTTCCTGATAAAAAAAGTAATTATGACTACTTAAAAAAATTTATTTTTTTGTACTAGTCCCTCTCTTACTTGCTATGGATTGAATTGTCTCCCCCAACATGTGTCTCTTAGATCCCAACCTCCATACCGATGTCTTAGGAGGCCCTGGTGGTGCAGGGGGTCAGGTCTTAGGCTGCAAACCCCAAGGTCGGTGGTTCAGACCAGGGGAGAAAGTCGAGGCTCTTTGCTCCCATAATGCCTCTCAGTCTAGGGTTGCTGTGAATTGGAACCACTTTCATGATGGCAGATTTGGTCTGATACCTGTGGTGATTTGTCCAGTTGGGAATGAATTTTCTCCGTTACTAGACTAGGATGTGTCCTGAGCCATTCTCTTTTGAGATGGAACAAAGAGCAGAGGAAGCAGTTGAGGGAAGGTAGCGTGCTGACCCAGGCAGACCTTCCAGCAATCCTGAAATAGCCAAAGAAACCTTCCCTCAGTGTGAACTGAATGAGAAAGCCTTCTAGAGTTTGCACCCTGAGTTGGAATGATAGCTTTCCAAACTGTGAGAAAATAAACGTCTGTGTGCTAAAGCCACTCCCTTCTGATATCTCTGTGAGAGCAGCACAAGATAACTTTAAAAAATAAGCAAGGTACTGTTTTAAATGCTGTTATACGATGATGCAGGGTTTTGAGCTAATATAGCCATTTTGTTTCCATGAAAATCAGAACTATGCCCATCTGTGTTCCGGTACTCCATATGTTTCTAATCCAACCTTGGCGGCACGTATCTCAAAGAGGTGATACATACTTGAATTACTTGCGGTACTTCTAGTTGATTTTCCCCCTCGTAATTACTGTATGTGGACTCTTGTCTTTTCTGGTGCACAGGAACATGTTTAGACTTGCTGGGATCACCTTATCTAATTTTTTCCCCCTGAAATTTGAATTCCTGTCTGAAACTAATGTTAGAAAATTAATTACTGGCACTGTTGAAGGTGTGTATCAAGGACAATAGTTTCTAATTGGAGACTTCAGTATTACATCTTTGAGGGCCAAACATTGTAAGTCATTTCGAGATTCTTTTTTCTTTTGCTTAGGGTTATAACAATTTTGTTTAAAGTAGCCAAGAGCCAAGAGCTAGTTATTAGCCTCAAATCAGAAAACAAAGATCCTTGGAGTGTTACTTTATTTATTTTTCCATTTTTAGGTTAAGGCAAATAAGCAACAGACTAAGGAATTATGCTTTGTAGTTTATGTTCACTCTTTTAAGATGCCAATAAGTCATCTATTCACATGTGCAAGGCAGCTTCAGGGAGGAAAAACAGGGACTATTTATTTCTTCTTTTATCTAGGCCTCCTCCTTCCTTGACCTCTCCTCATCTTAGAAGGAGTGCTTTGTTTTCCCTGTGTGGGTGTTGTCTTGTGCCCATCATTAGTATAATCGTTTTGCTGGTTATAGACTTTTCTGTAGCTGGAAGGATTAAGACTTCTGTCTTAAGCTGAGTTCTATAGAGAACAAAACTAGCGCCCCCCCTTCTTACACACACAACACACACACACACACACACACACACACACACACACACACGTTTATAGCAAGGAAATGGTTCACATGGTTGTAGAAGCAGACAAGTTCCATATGTGGGGTCAGATGTCAGACTCATGTAGTCGCAGGAGATGAAGACCCAAAGGTTGGCGGGTCAGGTGACAGGCTTCCAGCTGTGGGAGTGAATGAAGCCAAGGTTGGTAGATAAGATGGAAAGCTGATGATGACTCCCAAGATCAGCAGACAGAACAGCAGGCAGCTGGCTCAAGCCCAAGGAGCCAGAGGTTAGCTGATGAGCTTGATGCTAGATCCACTCACTCACTCACTCACTCACTCACTCACTCACTCACTCACTCACTGCCATAGATTTTTTGCTGATTCATAGCAACACTATAGGACACGGTAGAAGAGTGGTTCGCAACCTTCCTAATGCTGCTACTCTTTACAGTTCCTCATGTTGTAGTGACCCCCCAACCATAAAATTATTTTCGTTGCTACTTCATAACTGTAATTTTGCTACTGTTATGAATCATAATGTAAATATCTGATGCAGGATGTATTGTCATTGTTAAAAATTGAACATAATTAAAGCATAGTGATTAATCACAAAACAATATGTAATTATATATTGTGAAATATTTATTTCTAATTATAAACATGAAATTTTGTCTTGAAGCATGATGTAGCATGGGTGACAGTCTTAATATAACAACAGTAAACTACATTGCTACATTTTGTGACAGTATGTGTAAAAAGCCAATTTAAGATAGCTTCTTTCTCACCAGGTCAGAAATTCTCAGGGCAGTCTTTGTAAGAGCACAACAAAGATCATCTTCCACAACAAGTCTACTTCTGTAGTTAGACTTGATAACCAACAAGCTGGAAAGCCCTGTTTCACAAAGATATGTTGTTGGAAATGGAAGAAGAAGGCGCAACACAGCCTCAGACAGAACAGGATATGACTGCAAACACTTGATCCAGAATTTTGTAACTGACATTGTAGAGAAATCAGTTCCTGCTGCA